CTGTGAAAGGGAACACAGGTGTCAGAGGTGGGCTCAGAAGCCACCAGAAGACACATTTTTCCTCCAACTTCTCGCAAGTATACAGCTCATATGGCAAGTGTGCACAATCCTGGCTTTGGCTTGAGGGAGTCCCACAACCTGCAAACCAGCAGTCAGATCTAGAACTGGCACATGTCCCCTGCAGTCACTGTCTCCTACCAAAGACCCACCCCAGCCTTGGAAGGTGCTCCTGATCACAGAAGAGTGGCTGAATGACAATATAAAGGCCTTGCTCTAGGGCAAGGTTAACAGCTCATTCTACAAACACCTCACTGTGAATTAATTCTTGCCTACCTTCCTCAGGTGCCCACCTCCAACCCCAGCTATTCAGTGCTGAGAGAGAGGGTGGGGACCTGCACAAGTGGGTGGTTGGTGGTGGGGGCCCCTGAAGCCAGGGTATCATCGACATCACATTCTAATCTGGGCTGTCCATCCTGCCAGCTGCAGGCTGCTCCTTTTCTAAGCACTGGAGAGCCTGGAAGCCGATGGGTAATTCAGGATGGCTGGCTGCAGGAGCCTCGCTTCGTACCCAGGCACCTGATCTGTCCCTCCACAGACCCCCTGGGGCAGCTGCCACCACTCCTGCTGCCCAGCTGCTGGATACCCCTCCTACAGCCCAGAAAGGGGCTGGTTCTCCACCAGAGCAGCCTTGTCTTCTCTTCTGCTGGGTCCCCAAACCTGGGCTCCTCTCTGTAGTCCCTCACTGACTCAAAGGGATGGGTGGTCTCTGTCTGCTCACCAAGACCCCAAACCATGGGGCTGGGGGAGCTGCTCCCTCAAATACTACCCAACCAGACACCTGTAGCAGCAGCCTCTCTGCTCACAAGCTCTGGGCCCTGGAAAGGTGACAACACAAAGGCAGAACGAAAGGGCTGAAATTTTGGCAATGATGACTAAAACTCTATCAGTAGGATGTGAAGGGAAGCAATGAACCCTATCATCAACCAGCAGTGCAGAAATCCCACAGGCAACCCAAGTCCCATTCCAGATGTCAACAAACCTAGCAGACGGGGTCTTCTAGTCAGACACCAAGCAACCCCGGGCAGCCCGTTCCTGTGTGCATACACAAAATGGGTGCAAGCAGCCATTCCCAGGTGACTGCCACAGGACTGAACAAGCAAGGAAAGAAATGTACAAACATGCTCATGGTGCGAGGGACCCAGCTGGTACTCAAGCAGGATGGCTGTGGCCACTGCCTGACTGCACAGCCCCTGGGAGGTGCAGGCGGAAGCCCCGTGAAAGGCCAGTCTCTTCGGACATGTGCTTCAGGTGCCCGGGCTGTGAGAAGCTCACGGGGATGCCACCGCCACTCTCCTGACTCAGAAAACACTCTGGCTGTGACGACGTGTGCCCACATCTCTATTCTGAGAGAGGCATTTTCTATGCTGCCCCACCAAGCCTTTTAGGCTTTAGAAAGCCACCACTGGGGTCCTTCCAAGCCATCACAGAATCCAGAAGCTGTGTCGTGGGAACCCTGGAGAGAGGGACTGTGCCATGTGGGGCAGATGGGTCTTTAAGGAGAACCCTGCGCTGAGCCTGCACATCATTCGCTGGTGGCATCTGCCAGGTAGAGTTGCCGAGAGGGAAAGGCAGAGCAGCACAGGTGCCTTCTCCTGCGACCCACTCTGTCCGGACTCCTGCACCACCCCCCGTGGGGGAGGGGAAACGGAGGCCACAGCTGAGGCGGAAGCAGGAACAAAGCAGCAGGCCAAAGCTGGTGTGAGGGCCAAGCCTGAGGCTGGAGCGGGTAGGCACAGCCATGTTCCTAAAGAGGGGTCTCCCAGAGGCCACCCTCCTGGACGCCGTCTTCAAGGGTCCTTCGAATCCTTTCATGATGAGGAAAGTCCTGGGAGCAGAGTATCTGTGTGGGGAGGGTCAAAAGGGAGGGAGAGGGGAGCCACTACGTGGGATACGTGCTCTTCCCTTGGGCATACTAGAGGGTGACGCAGGTGTCTGGAAGGGCACCCACCGAGGTTCTGCACTGTACCCCAGGCACTGCTTCCTCCAACTCTGCACGCCTCACAGTTCCTTCCCAATGGCCCCCTCTGCACTCCTCGCCCCTGCTTTACAAAAGCCTTTCCGAGTCCCCATTCTGGAAGGAACCATTGTGCTCCTGTGTGGGAGACAGCAATACTGATCATGCCCAAAGCAGGCTGTGAAGAGTTAACCCCACAAGCGGCTTGTTCTGAGAGATGAGTCCAGCCGAAGCCTACGTGCCAAGGTCAGTAACTTGTACCCAAATTCTGTTCCCACAACTAAAACTTTCTTAACTAGGACAATATTCTAATTACAATCATACAGTTTGTCTATTCTGTTCCTAATTCAAGAATGCTTTGAATGACTTGTCTTTTGCAAGCCTTGCTTACATTAACTTCCATAGAAACCGCATGACTGCGCATCACTGCGCATCTTCTCAGACGCACAGTCTTCTCTCGTAGTCCCACCCTTGCCCATTTATAGCTCGCCTTTACCCCGATCTATTACCAAGAAAAATCAGGGCTTGGACTGGCCAGCGCCTTTGTTGGTTGCACCAGCATTGGTCGTCCTGGGCCCCACTTTCTGTCTCTCTTAGTTCTCTTAGTTTTCTTTCCTCTCAGGCCTGTGTCATACACTGGGCAGGAGGCTGCAGCCTACTGCAGAGGTTTCCCACAATGTTTCAGGGGTCCCCAGCACTCCTGGGGCACCTGTGACCTCTGTCCTCTGCCTCCCCACAGTACCACCAGTTGCTCACTGCATGTCAGACACTTTTCTAAGCACTTCGTGCGTCTCCCCTAACACGGAAGAAGTACTGCAATTATTACTGTCATTTCCCTTTTCAGATAAGTAAAGTGAAATAAAGAAAAAGCATGTAACTTGGCGAAGCTTTATAGGAGAGGGGCTGAGACTTGAACTCAGCAGCCTGACCTCAGAGTCTTTTCTCTTAGACCACATTTTAAAAAAAAAGTGTATCCCTCCCCAGAGCTGCAGAGATAGTAACAGAGTAAAATATACTTCTGGCCCATGAGTGCAATCCTAGCAGTCCGGGAGGCTGAGGAAGGAGGATCACTAGTTTGGGCCCAGACTGAACAACTTAATGAGACCCTGTTTCAAAACAAAAAATAAAAAATGGCCTGGAGATGTAGCTCAGTGTGAAGACCTTGGGTTCAACTCCCAGAACTGGGGGCAGGTCCACACGTTGTCAAAGATGAGTATGCTGGTCATAAAGGCAATAAAATATTTCTGGGGTGTCTGGAAGATATTGTGGTGCCACTGGCTGCAGATGCCATCAGGCCCTGCCCCTGGGGGTGGCCATCTGCCCTTGGCTTCCCTTACAACCCTAAAATGTCAAGGACTCAAATTACAGGTGCCAGATGGTACCAGGAGGGAACACCAGGGGGTGACACGCCTGCCCCAGGAAAAGGAGACCCTGGAGCAAAATTAAGGCTATGAAACAAAACCCAAATCCCTACTGCCCAGGAGCCCCTTGAATGTCTTTTTTTATTTTGGTACTGGAGATCAAACTCAGGACCTCATGCTTGCGAAGAAGGTGTGGTGCCACTGAGCTAAATCCCTGGCCCCTGAATGTCACTTTAAAACAATCTTACTTAGGGACAGGGAAGCTTAGGAACGGATGGGGCAGATTTCAGCTATCATTACACTTTCTAAAACTCTAAGCGACCTCAGAGTTGGTATCTGTTGCATAACCTGGAGAGCTGCAGTGATTAGAAGTTTCTGGACAGAAAAAGGATGAGGAAGACAAGATGCCAAAAAGCTAGGTCTCTGTAGGTGGGGAGGGGCACGAGTGGTCGGTAGTGGACATGGACTGTCTGCACAGGTTACAGGACTGTGGGGCTGCCCACTGGCGCTGGGATTCCAGGACAGGCTGTCTCTGCTGCCTCCTTTGGAAAGAGGCAATCTGTCTCGTGCTGTGGGACTTTAAGGAATTCGAAGCCCGGCCAGTGCTGATGGAGCGTTTCTTGTGCCAGTGCTGTGGGGCCCAGGGGCTGCTCTGCCAAGCCCCTGATGCTACACAGGGGGAGGAAGCAGGGGCAGAGGTAGGTCTGGTCGTGATCAGAGCCACAGAGAAAAATAAGGCAATGGGGGCGGGGCCAACGGGAGTTGAGAGATCAGAGCAGCTGTCGGAGGTGCTGTGTGGAGTGTGTCCGAAGGCCGAAGGAGCAGGGCTCAGAGCATGGTCAGCCCCGGGGGGAAGGAAGCTCACCACAGCGGCACTTCTGCCCTATCCTGCCAGGAAGATCACCCTCATCCCGAGGTTCACGTTGCTCTGGGCTGCAGTCTTGAGGCCTATGTACCTCTGACAAGACAGCAGGAGCAACTAGCTCATCTTGCAATGAGTGCCTGGTCCAGACCCTCATCGGTAACACTGACTTTGGCTGACCAGGTGACTCAAAACTGTTTAGAATGTTCAAGAGTAGAAAAGGCAAACTAAGGCTGATTAACAGGTTGAATACAGAAGGGTGCTAAAACGAAGATACTTCCAATTGGTTTTGAACATCACGGCCCTGTAGGAGTGGCTGGCCTGCTCTGTAGGGCGAAGCACTTGTCCTAGGACTTATGCCTGGTCACTAGCACCAGTATCTGGAACACTAAACGGGCTCCTCATCTAGTGGGGAGCTGCAGAAAGTCCAAAGGGCAGGCTTTATGGGGCCTTAGCATGTTATGTCTCAAGGCTGAGAGCTACGAGCCACACCACACGCACCTGCTGAACACCAAGGAAGACCAAAACACAAAAGATGTGGGTGTCCTTCAATCTCAGAGGAAGCAACACCTCGCCTTTTCTGGGGACTGGTGACATCATCAATATCAGATCTTGAATCTCCCACTGGCGGTAGCTGCCGACCTAAAAGGCCCAGTTTGAGGGCAAACACCCAAGAGGCTTAATAAAGTCCCAGACCGAGACCTAGTCTAATCCTAGACCTCAAGGACAAGCTGACTGCCAGCCCCATATTGTGTGCAGAAAATACAGGACAGCCTGCAGTGGCCCCTGATTTGGGTTTGTGTTCAGAGTGAGGCTTTTCCTTTGCTTGACTAAGCCAGGCCTAACAGCTCTGAAGCCCAGCAGTCACACACAGGCATGAAACTGCTCACTCAGGCAGGACTCAAAAATACAGGTTCTCAAGCAAGGTGGGATGGCACACACTTGTAATCCCATCTACTCAGGAGGCTGAGGCAGGAGGACTGCACATTCAAGGCTAGCCTGAAGAGCTCCACAAGACCCTGTCTTAAATAAAAAGTGCTGGGGATGTAGCTCAGTAGTAGAGTGCTTGTCTAGCATCATGTGTGAGGTCTTTGGTTCAAACCCCAGATTGCACTCCCCGGCCAAAATAAAACCAGATTCACAAAAGGAGTATGAGGCTACCCCAACACTGGAAATTCTAAATACTAACTTGCTGTTTCCCAAGGCATAGAAACAATCTGAGAAACATTAGTCCTCTGCCTGCTCCACCCATATAGTCTGAGGAGGTCGGAGTCCTACACAGACATAGAAAAAGAGTGAAGTAAGACAGCAGTCAAGTGGGGAAGACAGGGTTTCTTGTTATGACAGGGACCTGAGCGCTCCTAACCAGCCCTTCTCAGTGCCCACCTGCCCCTAAGCCTGCTGCCTGCCCGAAGGCCCACCCCACTCCCCACCCCACTGTTTGAGCCCCAACTCGCTGCAGCTGACCCTGCTGCACCACTGGGCTGGCTGCACTGCAGTGCACGATGGGGTCTTGGGTGTCAGTTCTGGCTGAGAAACCCAGTCCAGTTTTGGAGGAAGAGGAAACCATTTCACAGGAATTCTTTTGCAACCCAGAATCAAATCATTTTATGCTTCCCACAGAGTCCAGGCTCAAGAATACAAATGTAAAATGAGAAATACAGACTTTTTTTCAGTACTTAGGATTGAACCCAGAGTCTTTGCACTGAGCTATATTTATTTATGCCCTTTATTTTCTTTTTAAATTTTGAGACAGGGTTTCACTAACTCACTAAGCTACCCAGAATAGGCTTGAACTTGTCACCCTCCTGCCTCAGCCTCCCAGAGTGCTGGTATTAGAGGTGTGTGCCACCAAGCCTGGCTAGAAATGGACATTGTCTCTGAAGAAAATTTACAAGAATCTGGCATAAAGGGAAGGGTCGGGGAGGGGCAGGCCCAGGACATTCATCCCCCAGCTTCCATGCTCATGCAACAGGGTGACCTGAGAAACTACTCAGGCCAGGTCGGAAAGTTTACCCCAGTGTGGACCTTTGAAAAAGTGCTGGGAACCTTAGAAGAACAGTGTTTTTCAAACCAAAGGGTCAGGATCCACTAGTAGGTTATGGGACCAATTTAGTGGGTCACAGCCGACAATTAAAAAAAAAAAAGTATCCGTTTGCATTATACCTATTACTTTGCCTTTTCAACCTTTTCAGTTGCATATATGATATACATATGCCCTGGGTCACTACGTAAAATGTTTACTGTAGGTCACTGTCAAGAAGTTTGAGAATCTCCTCCTAAGTCTGCCCCATCCTGGGTCCAGCTTTTTGGGTTCTCTCTGGCCAGGATTTTGGCCAGTTCCATCCAGTACAGAGCTGTTCCCTCTCCCCAAGCAAATTCACACAGATCCAGCACTACCACATTCATGCTGGACATTTTTTTGGGTAGAGACTCAGGACTCTGGCCTTCCTTAAAATGTCACTGCCAGCTACAATAGTAAAACCAGGAAGCCAGGCATGGTGGTGCACGCTCGTCATCCCAGTACTCAGGAGGCTGAAGCAAGAGAATCACCAAGGATTTGAGGTCAGCCTTGACTATATAGCGAGATCCTGTCTCCAAACAACAACAAAACAACAACAACAACAAAAACAACAACAACAACAACTCCTCCCCTGTAAAACCAGGAATGGCATAAAATGGGGCTTCCTGTTGCAGCTGGGCCACTCTTCTAGCCGCTTCCCAAGTCTAGTTTAGACCGGACTGGGGATGTGATCAGGAGGGACTCAGATTGTGCCTGTGTAAGGACTCTCTCAGTGCAATCGACCATCATGTGGCAGAGCCACTGATAACCCAGCAATCAGCACCGTCCACCCGAGGACAGAAGGCTTCACTAGCAAAACACACGTGGACGGGGGCTTCACGTGCTGGGTAAAAGAAATGCTGGTCCCCAGCTAGGACTGCCGTCAATTGTGTGCTCCAGAAGCCACTCCGCAGAAGCTCTGTAAGACCAGTGAGGAAGGTCCATTTAGTCCATAGCTTTTGAGCGTTCACTATAGACTCAGGACAAGACAGGAATATCAAGACACATTTGGAATGTGTCTCGACTTTAGGGAACTGACATTCAGAAGGGGAGACAACATGAAACTATGGCCAAATGTTTATTCACAAGTGAACCCATTGCTGAGCTCCTGTCCCAGCATGGCAGGCGGAGGAAGGCAGGAGGAGCCAGATCATACCCTAGAAACAAAAGCACTGGGACGCCTCCCCTTCCCTGGGGACCCTCCTTGCGGTCACACCCAGACTGAAGCACACGGTCAGGCGGCCAGGCAGCACAGCTCAGTGGAAACTGCAGCTGCAGCGCCTGCTTGCTGGGATGGGTGGAGACTCGGCCTGCCCCAGGACAGAAAAAGGGAGCCGAGTTCAGCTGTCTGCTAAGTGGAGGGGGAAGGACTGCGGAGCAGTGCCTGGCGCGAGGCCAGGGCAGCAGGCCTGGTCTGCAGATGCGGTAGTGCTTGATATGCGGTACAGGCTTGCCGTGGTGGGAGCCAGGAGTGAAGAATGAACATCTCTAGGAGGAGCAGGCCTCCCTCTGCAAGGACGAAGAGAGGCAGAAAACGGAACAGCACACTCGCACATTCTGTGACCGGGCTATCACCACCTAGCCAGTCCATCTGATTGTCCTTTTTTCTTTTCAGCACTGGGGTTTAACCCAGGGCCTCTGCACTGAGCTATGTGCCCAGCACAACCCCCCTTCATTTTGAGACACTAAGTTGCCCAGGCTAGTTTCAAAAACTTGCAGTCCTCCTTCCCGCCTTAGCCTCCCAGAGTGCTGGGATTACAGGGATGCGCCACCACACCTGGCTGAGGCTGTACCTTTTCCCATGTGATAGGCTGCCATGCTGGGGCTACCAGGAATTCCTGAGAGTACTCAGGGCTGGAGAGCCCAGGGCCTCAACACTGCCCTCTAGATAACCCCACACCCTGCCCATCTATCTGAGGTCACATTAGGGCGGTAGTCACAGGAACCTCACCCTGTGCCCGGGGATGATGCCACTCACTCTGCTTCTTTGGATTCTCCAGGGAGGTACCACAAGGGAGAGAGGCAGTGCAGGGAGGCACTGCTCCCAGTGCTCCACTCCAGAGGTGGCTGGGGACATAATGTCCCGTTCAAGGTCGTCCAGGCACCAGGACTCCAGGGCCCGGCTATTGCTAACCTGACTCTCATCTGGCATATGCGGCGCCCCAGCCTGGCCCTAATACCCGCGGAACAACTTAAGCCAGGATGCCTAAGTGTGGGCCCTGGCCCCTGGCTGCATCTTTCCTGAGCTCACTGGAAACACGGGTCCTCAGGCCCCACCCACCCCCTGGGAAGCTGCAAGTCAACAAGGCTTCCAGGTGAGCTGTGAGTCCCTGCACATCCACAGCAGCAGCTCTTACCATCAGGGGGAGCGGTTACAGGCTACACCAGGCTCACACTCCAGCCCCACTATGATGTTCCGGGCAAGCACTGAACACCGAGCTGCACTCCCAGCCCCTCCTGCCATAATATTCTGTAAAGAGGCATTTGGAAAAAGTCCCACAGTAATTCTAATACACATTCCCAACCCCTGGCGACTCTGGTTGGCCTTTAAAGACAAGGGAGGAGAAGGGACACAGCTCCATCCTTCTGAGCTGCTTCTGGAAAACCCTGGTTTTGAGGGGGAACATCGGCATTCGGCAGCCATGATCCCCAGGACAAGAGCAGCCTTGGAAGGACCACGTCTGAGTCCAGTGGGCAGGGCCTGCTTTCAGCCATGAGAGATCCCATGTGGAGAAACACACCCTCACTGAGCCACACCAGCCTCCGCTCGCTTCTCAAACACCTGCAGTTACTATTTCCAGGCAGATGAAATGAATACCACTGGGGGTGCTGGTGTCACAGGGCACCAATTGGCCTGGAGACTCCAGGACTGAGCAAAATGGCTCCTGGGGGTTGATGTCACTTCTCAGCTGGATTATTACATCCAGGAACCTCAGCGACTCATCCCTTCACCTCCACTTCTCCCAAGGCACACCAGCATCTCAGGACAGTGAGCCAGGATGAAAACACTAACTGAAAAGCACAATCACAAGACTGGGAGAAGGCTCTGTTCACTTCTATAGATGCAGTGAGATGAGACTATAGCAGGGTGGAGGCCACAGGCTGCAAAGGACAGATTTGTGTTCAGGGTAGAGGACACACAAGAATCAGGTCCTGCTGGGGATACAGCATTGCCACTCCCCAGCTGCCAGACACCTCTTCAGGCATGGGCAGCACTGGGCTGGACAAGCTCCTCCAGCTGCAGCTCCAGCGCTTCTGCCCCGAGTTCCCTTCTGCTACCTGCCAGGCAGCAGTCCTGCCATGTGCCAGACCTCTGCTCTCCACATAGGGACCATCCGTTTGAAGCATGAATCCCCTCAGATTCCCAAAGCAGGCCAGCTGAAAGTTAAAGACATATTGGCTCGTGGGGCCCAGGGCAGGGCCTGGACAAGGCTCCGGACAGGTTCTCTCCCAAGGAACTAACAGCTCACCTGGAGAAGCCAAATGCACACAAAGTAACATTTACAATGACTGCAACAAGATTCAGAAATTAATATACATGATTTAGATGCAGTACTTAATTGGGGAGATTTCAGATATACCAGGGAAGATACCTAAAGAAAACCCATAGGAAACCATATAGTATGAACCCTCACACTGATGTGGTCAAAATTTCCTACCCCACCCCCTCTCTGAGCAGGGCCACACCCAGTTATGAATATGGACAGAGCCTGAGGCAGAGCGCATCAGTGTGCAGAGGTGACCTGGGCTGGACTTCAGGGGCTGTCACCAACACATCTCAGCACAGAGTGCTACAAAGAGCTCTCAGCTACTGAAAGAAATAACACCTCGAAGGCCACATGGCAGGAAATGGGTGATCTCAGGCCCAGGTGAGAATGGCAGGAGGCAAGAAAAGCATCTGGGACTTCACCGACACCCCTGGGCACCTCAGAAGGATGGTGTTATCCTGCTCAGACACAGAGTTGCGTGCAGGGGGAGGGCAGAGCTGGGCCACACTGGCAGAGCCTCAAGCTTGGTCCTCCCCTGGGGACAGGACAGCCCTGTGGTGAACCTGTAGCATCCTGAGGGAGAGAAGCTAGAGCACAGAGCAGGCCCGGGTCTTTGGAGGATTGTGACCACACAATTATGCATAAAACTTCCTTCCTCTTGGGAATGTTCGGCCTCCAGAGGGCTCTCTGATCTCCCACGGGAACTCATCTCATCACAGACCTGAAGGAGGGCACATGCCAGGAGAGCAACAAGTGGAACTTACTTGAACTGCAGCATACCTACTTCTGGAAGCTGTGCCCTACAACCAGCAACTGCAAGGTGTGTTTGGCAGGGTTACAGTGCTCTGCTGGCCTCTGAGGAGCAGCTGGTGGAAACCAACAAATGGCCCCATAAGATAGGGAGGACTCTATACACTGTTTAGTGGAGTTGAAAAGGCAAGACTATGAAGCTGTGAAAAGTGGAGCAGCCCAGACAGGTAGCTGTTTAACAGAATCCCCAGAGGAGCTCTTTTAAAAACATAGATTCCTGATTTCTCATCCCAGACCTAGTGAATGACTGTCTGGATGAAGATGGAATCTATTTCTTTTTTAGCTTTTGGGGTGGTGAGGATTGAACCCAGGGCCTCATGTATGGTAGGCAAGTGCTCTACCACTGAGCTACGCTCCTAGCCAGGAATCTATTTCTTAATGTCCCCTGGGTCAGCCTGATAATCCACCTGGTTAAAATAGCTCTATTTGGGGGTGGGGTGTAGCTTTGTGGTAGAGGATGTGTGTAACACGTACAAGACCCCAGTTCCATCCCCAGCACAGGGGTGAGGGTAGCTCTACTTCAATCAGAAATTTTTGCCTTTCTTCTAAAACAAAACATACTGAGTACTTACAGACATTTAATTTTTAAAAGCTTAAAAGATAGAAATCTGTAGATCAAGGTGCAAAAGCATGGTGGCTTAAAATAACAGTGCGATTCAATTGATAGCTACTGCTTAGCATTTCCTGCCAAGTCCTCCTGTGATTCAGCTTCGGAGACAGATACACAGGCACCAAGTACTCAAATGGATGTGGCTGCAACTCTGAGTGACCTTTGCTCAGGTGGGCCAGATCCAGGCTGGCCAGAACCCAAGCGGATGCCAAGAAGCAGCTGGGCTCTGGGACATCTCACAAATGACCTTGCTGACTGAGAGAAGGGCCCGACTCAAGGCAGCTGCTGCCATGGGACAAAGCATATCCTACCAGCACCCATCCCTGGAACCTGGGGGACACAGTTTTGCCACCTTGAAGACTTTCAGGTGGCAGTGCAGCTTCCTGGGCCCATGCCATGGCCACGAGAGCTGGGTCACTGGACAGGAGCAAGCCAGTGTGTGACATGGCTCCCGTGCAAACCCGAGAGTAACTAACCTGCTCCGGCAGAAACATGCACCCCGGCCTGCCTGGTCCGTGCCCATGGTGACAGCCCTCGGGAACCCACTGCTTAGGTGTCATCCCGCTGTCTTCGCCTCCCTAACTGAGCACATAGAAGAATGAGGTAATCGTAGTAGGAGACACCTGCCACTCCCTCCTGCAGCAGCCAGAGACACAGTCTCACCCTTACCCAATGCACCAGCGCTGCCTCCCAAACTGATCAGCTGCTAATCAATAGCCACACTCTGCAAAACGCACCACCCTACCTTCCTAGGCAGGCGCACACGGGAAAGAGTCCACCCAGCACTGCTATTTAAAAAAAATGCAAATCTGTAAGAAAAGGCAGTAAAAAATAATATGGGAGGGCCTTGGGTCCATGTCTGTGTCTCTTCTCAGGGACCAGTTTCCTGGTGAAGAGGATCTGTGGAGAAGAGAAGGGGCTGCTATTTCCACGAAGTACTCGTTTCTGGCATCATTTTCTTTTCTTTTTTGAGACAGAGTCTCACTATGCAGTTCAGGGTGGCCTTGAAGTTACAGTGACCCTCCTGCCTCAGCCTCCTAAGTGCTGGGATTACAGGCATGCACGAATATGCCTGGCTGGTATCATTTTATTTTCTTTATACTTATGAATTCAGGTCAATCCCAGTGGCCAGAGAAGATAATACCAGACCTTTGCTGGCACAGAGCTAAGTAACCCCCAAAGCAGGCAAGGAGAATCCATAGCACAGAATAGGCAGGCTTCTCAACCCACCAAGTGACTGTCCAACTACTACTGGTTCTTGGCTTCCCTACGTCTTTCCAAGATAAACTGGGCTGTGGTGCTGCAAATATTTATTTTCCACCTGTAATCAGGAGCATGGTCAAGGCATGAGAAGCCAAGGAGGAAGGGCGCAGACCCGGGAGTGACAGCAAGCGGGGGGTCTCGGGTCAGCGGTGACGGTCGACCTGTACAGACCCCAGGGAGGACAGGACAGGCTGGCATTGCTGAGCCAGCAGATGGCTTTGCTGCTCACCCACCTGTGCTCCTGACACCACGCCTCACGTGTGTCCTCCTATTGTTCCCACAGCACTGGAATTAGGCCAGGATGGGATCAAGCACCTGCCCACGAGGCCAAGATAGCCATCAAAATTATGCGCAAATACGCAGCCACCCAGGTGACTGGGGTGGCTGGGAAAGTGGAAGGGACACCTCTACCAGTCTGCAAACCGGGAGGATAAGAAGCATGGCGGTGCTGTAGACTCAGCCCCAACACGCTATCTGTCCTTCTCTGACAGAATATGGGAAATGCTCACAGCTACAAGATTCCTAGAACTGAGCCCAGCTGTAGGACAGCGCCACAAAAGGGAAGGAGCACTTGCTGTCACCTTGTGGTGGATACCACACAGTGCATCCCCCTCATGGAAACGGCAACATTGGACCCCGCCAGGACACAGGACACGACTGGAGGAACCTCAGCACCCCATGGATGAGTACATCACAACTGATGAAGTGGGCGGCACACTCAGCTGAGAAGGGCTGCTGCTTTCCTTATTGGGTAAATGCCATGGCTTCCCTACCTCTATTCCCCTCAGTTCCTGGGCCCTAAGAGGTGGCTGACAAGTCGCTGGGCTCTAAAGGACACCAGGAGGCCACAGCAGACTCGAGACAAAGATCCTTCCCGTCTCCAATGAACCGGTACCCAAAGGCTTGCTCCCAAGGACCACAGATCCCAAGTGCAGAAAGATGGACGGGAACGGGAAGACATCTCTAGGCTCCACCACGCCCTTCCTTAAGGGACAACAGGCCCTGGGGGTGGGGGCAGGGATGACAGTGACGGTTCTGAGCGCTCTGTGCAGGTGCTAAGTGAGGCACAGGCGCTCTCTCAAGCGCGCTGCATGCCCTCCCTCCTTCACGCTTGCCCAGCTATTTCAGTTACTTCACGCTCCAGTAACTGAAATGGAGATCATGTGCAGAAGCCCAACTTACGTGAAGGACACAGGGAGAGGGTGTGAGCAGGAGGGGGTCCTGGGCCTGTGCTCAGGTCCCATCTCTCCTCTCCCACGGGCTTGGCAGACATAGGGCTTCCAACAATTGCCTCTCATTTATGATACGCTGCTCGCTTGCTGTATGGTAGGCCATTATTCAGTCATTCAGTCACTCAACAAACTATTAGCTTGGCAGATAAAGTGCCAGATGCTAGTGAAACATTCTCAGCCTTGAAAGGGTGGGAGGATGCACCAGTATAGGGCAAGTCTGAGCTGCCCTAGGGAACAGTCATGGCTTTTCCACGTGGCTCAGTCCGGTGCACCCAAGTCTTTGCTCGATGTAATCTCCTCAGAAAGGGTTCTCCAGGGACTCCTTCTCATTGTCTTCCCATGCCTCGTGTGTTTCTCTACAGTGTTTCCTGTTCCCTACTCTGCAGTCCCTTCGTCCTTTGTTGTCTCCTGCTAGTGGGCTTTAGAACGTGAGCTCGGTAAGGCACTCCTGGCAAGTTCCTGGAACACTTCAGAAGGAGTCGAGAGAGACATGCTGGAGGAGACGCCCTGAGAGTGGGACAGATACCAAGAGAGCGTGGTCAGCAATGGCCCATGCTGCTGAGAGACCCAGTGCCCCAGATGACAGCAGCTGGTGACCCTGGCTCAGTGGTCTCAGAAGGTGGTGCGGGCAGAAGCCTCACTGGCACGGCTGGAGAAGACCAGGGAGCCCAGGAAACAGGCTGGGGTGGAGCTCCTTCAGGATCTAGGGCTAAAGAGGGAAGGGGAAGAGGTAGGTGAGGGGATAAGGGTCTCTTTAAGATATTAAAAATGGGGTCAGGCAGAAATTGCAGAGGGAGTTTGGACAGAGGCTGCCAAGAGGTAACCATGGAGACAGCCAGGGTGCGTGTCTATGAAGGAGGCACAGCTCAGGAGAGGGACCTCCACACTGGCAGGCTCAGATCAGGAACTCCGTTGCCTTTGCTGATGGGTTTCCCAATCGGCAGCTAGAGATCTCCTGGCCGGGTAAGGCCAAGGCCAGAGTACGTGACAACAGCACCTGCTGCCATCTCTGAGTGGCAGTCAGTCCTGTGGGGCCACAGCTGCTTCTAGCCGGTGCGTCCCTGGAGAGTCAAACACAGATGACCAGCCGGATCCTTGCAGACCCCTTCCAGCGGCGACCTTTAACTGTGTGAGCTCCCTCTCAAGACCCACATCTCTGTGGTCTCCGAAGAGTAGCACGAACAGGCACACACATCTGCACACAACCCAAGTCAGTATCCCAGCCCAATGGCTCAGCTCCAACCCCTAGCCCTGGCAGCTATGGGTCCAAGGTGACAGTTCTGGGCAGTGTCTATGGTACAGGCTCTGCATACGGGAGGAGCTCGGGCACAGGTCTGTGCTTTCTCCCAGGTCTCAGGGGAGGGCGAGGGGCTGAGGATGGCCACAGGCCAGAGAATGGGGAGGCCCTCACCCTCAACTTCGGGCACCGTGATGTGCTCCCTTTATTCCCAACCCTAAGGCCAGACCTGCATGCCAGTGACTCTTATGAAACTGGGTTGATGTTTTAGCTTTTTTTGCAAGGGGTAGGAAGAAAAAAGAAAAACAAGGAAAAGGAGCCAGTGGGGGTTATTTCTTGTGCTTGTGTGAATCCACTATGTAGATCATGATTTCCCGATCCTCGTTAACAGTTACACACACACACACACACACACACACACACACACAGTGTTACATTTTAAAAGTTACACCAAAGTATTACATTAAAACAAGAATTACAAAAGAAAGAGTATCAAAAACAGTGAGCCAGGCACAGTGGCACCCACCTATAATCCTAGCTATTTGGGAGCCTGGGCAGGAAGTTCCAAAGTTTGAGGTCAGCCTGGGCAACGTGACTCAAAAAAGAAACAGTGGAGTAGGGTGGGACAGAGAACAATATTGGCACCCTTGGAACAACCCAAAATTTCGTAGCTTTCAACTTCCTGACTGATTGAAACCTGGGAATTGAGTTCCAGGAATCTACGTAGAATTCCAGTTTAAGAAAGTCTTTTAAATATTAATACTCAACCATGACTCCTAACACAGCAGGCTCAAATTCATGCTTGCAAAGCCAGGAGACACACTACTACTTCCCGATGCCCCAAGAGAGTGGCAAAGACTCAGGAGGTGCCCGTTTGCTTAGATGCCGCAGTGATCACACACATTATTTTAAGGCATCTGTGTAGAAGTGAGCGGGCTGTTCACTTAACCAAGGTCTGAATACAGTGGACCCTCAAGTTACAACAGGCCTGACATACGAATAAGTTGGGTTAATTAGGTTAATGGAAGATTCATCTGCCTCTTGTTATCTATAGCATGTACCCAGGTAAATATCCAGATCTCAGCTGTACTGACTTACAACCAACTTGAGTTACAACCAGCCCTTGGGAACTGTTGAGTTCATAAGTCAAGGGTCCACTGTACATGCTGGGAGGCTGGCACTGACAGAACATCAGTGGAAACAGCGTTGGGGAGGGAAGTCCAGCATTTAGGAAAACAGGATCAAAAACTTAATAAAAAGAATGCAAACTAGTTTTTTAAATATTCACTTCATATTTTTTTTTTGGTACCAGCGATCGAACTCGGGACCTTGCGCTTGCAAGGCAGGCGGCAGAACCACTGAGCTAAATCCCCGGGCCAATATTCACTACATAGTGAAATGATATTCTCTATATAGAGTGGGTTAAGTTAGACATATTAGAGAAAATTCTTTCTTTGTTATTTGGGACTGAAAACAGGGCCTTTGCACTGAACTACATTCCCAGCTTCCCCCCACTTTCTTAAAATTTTGAGACAGAGTCTCATTAAATTGTTCAGATTGGGCTCGAACTTACCATCCTCCTACCCTGGGATTACATGCATAGGCCTCCATGCTTGGCTTAAAATTAATGTCACCTGTTTAATTTTTAAAATATCACTAAATTTAAAAAATTACCTATGTGGCTCATGTTGTATTTCTACTGAACAATGTTGATTTAAATCAGTTAATTGTTTAAAAGAATAAGCTTAATTTTATCAAAGTGATGCATAGAAAAGTTTAAAGAAATCAGTACCAAAACAACCAGTCCCCTGTCTTACCCTTTTGGCTGTGCTCCCTTGAGGCAATCCCTTCCTATAGCTTAGCTGTTTGAATCTAGGCTGAGTAACTTTCACCCCAAATGCTCGGGAAGAAGTGTTTGGAATTCCATAGTACTTTGCATGTAGAGGGTATCTTGGGGAGAGGACCCAAGTGTAAACACAAAATTCATTTCTGTTTCACATGCACCTCATATGTATTAGCCTGAAGGAAATTTAACAGTACCTTAGGTGCACCAGCACTGTGAATGCCACTAGTCCCACGAGGTCAGGTGTGGAATTTTCCACTCCCGCGTGGTGCTGTGCCAGCACTCTACATATTTTGGATTTGGGAGCAACTGGAATCTCAGCTTAGAAATGCTCAACCTATACATACCTCTCTCTAAATAAACACGTTTGTACCTATAATTACTAGTTAACTATAGGTATTACCCTTTGACTTCCTGTTTTGGTAGCTGCTACCACACAACTCTCACCCCCTTTCTTACATAACCTATGCACATATTGGTGATTTTTGCAGAGACACAACCATAACTTTTCTAAACATCATCAGTTGTCTTATGGTTTTCCTTGGATTCTCCCTCCTGCAGAATTCCTCTCTGCCACTCTCATCTCCTTTCCCTGCCCACCTGGGTCAGATCCCTTATTTCCTGGATACCAGAGAAACTCCTGGATTTGGGTGAAGAACCTAATGGCCCACAGGAGATTTCCTTATTTCAGTTCTTGCAGACCTGAAGAGGACTGTTTTTACTATTCTTACCAGACTGGTTTCTGGCTGGATACATTAATTCCTCAGAAGGCTGAGGGATTTGCTTTGTTATTTTCCAATCTGGGAACCAGTGTGGAAAATGGCACATTTAATGTTTATTTTTCTGGTGGTCCAAATAGGTTTAATCCTATTACCTTTAGGGCTTTCTATTTATCACCCCACCCCCACCCCACACTGGAGACAGGGTTTCACTATGTAATTCAGTCTGGCCTTGAACTCACTACCAGCCTATGCTGACCTCGAACTTGCTGTGATCCTCCTGCATTAGCCTCTGAGTGTTGGGATTACAGGTATGTACAGCCACACCCAACTACCACATTCTTTCTTTGTTCTCTTTCTTCTAGACAAATGACCTCGTTTTTTATTGCTATATATTTTCCCTCTATGCATCCGAAAGCTCTAAGTCCCATTTCTATTATCTTAGGGGTCACCATTAAATGCTGAACATGTCCACTTGAGTCGCAAAGTGTAAAGCAAATGGATGTCCCTCCCACTCTTCTGCACAGGTTCAAAGATCTGGGAATAATTCAAATCATCTCCTCTCTTATTTCCACTAATTACCAGTACTTTAATTTTTAGAGTTCCTCAAACTAGGGACCATCACTGATTTGTAAATGACTCGTCTTTAGATTTACCCACGTTCCCATGCCCTTGCACGAGTCCTTTCCAGACCTCTCTTCCTCCTGAACTACAGTAACAAGACCATTAGTGAATAAACAGCTTCTTCTCTCTGTGAAAATGTCTTTATTTGTTCTCACTAGTGAAAGATAATTCAAGCTGGTTACTGAAAACTAAGCCAACAATTTATTTTTGAAACTTAGCATGCTGAAGACTTTAGTCAACTGCTGTCTGGCTTCTGCTGTTACTACTCAGACATTTGTTGAGTTTCACTGTTGAACCTCCTGGTAATCTATCCTTCCCTCTCATACTGGTTTTGAGAGGCCATTTTTCCCTTTGGGAACGCCCATGAGACACACCTGGCCTTCACATTCTGTTCTTGGGCCAGGGATTTAGCTCAGTGGTTCCGGCGCCTGCCTCGCAAGCACAAGGTCCCAAGTTCAATCCCTGGTACCAAAACAAAAAAAAAAATTCTGTCCTCCATGTTGCTGACTTCCCTTCTTGATGAACCATCTCTCTCAGTGCAGAACTCTAGCTTCTTCACATCTACTTTCCAGTTCATATAATTCTCTCTTGAGAATTTATGTCATTCACTTTTTAACATTTCCACTGGGCTTTTAACTGAATGATTACAGTTCTCATTCTGGAGGTTTTATTTAGTTTTTTAAAAAATCCTTTTTTAAATGTCCTGTGCCTTACTCTTTCCTTTGATTTCCATGCTTCTTTCCCCTTCAAACATGTTACTGCTGCATCTACTACGCTACGGTCTTCATCTGGAAGCTTAGTTTATTGTGAGGGCTGCAGTTTACTGTGAATTCTGCACCTGGTAACGCCCTACAACGAGCGGGATCCCTACACCTGCAGGGATCGCAGGATCCGCATGGCCTGCGCCATGGAGGGAGCACTCCAGATAGGTCTCACTGTGCTTCTGCTCCGGCCTCCAAGTGCCTCGCTAGCCTGCGTCAGCTTGGGGTCTCCTGAACTATGGGCACAATAAATACAGGCTTTGGACCCGGATGTTTCCTAGCTCACAGAAGACTTCTGTCAACCCTACCCAGAGTGTGGCACAAAGAAAGATGAGCTCCTTTGCCATTTCTCTGGCCCCATGGGGAACAGCCCCAGATTTACTTTACCTGGGAATGGATCTTTGGGGGATTTCTATTTCAGTTCCATGCTTTACGTGTGGATTAAAATCCAAATTTCTAGTATTTTTAGGGCTGATCTGGGGGCCAGTAAACATCCCCAGAGACACCCACTCTGCTGTGGCTTTAGGTTCCTGCTTAGGTTTTGGTTGTTACTTCTTTTTTTCTTATAAGCTCAGCTATATATTTAACATCTTTCTGTTGTACTTTCTGTAGCATTTCTAGGTGACTACAGCTGGCATGGCTCTACTTTAGCTCAATATACCATGTTATTGAAACAAAATCCACGCTGTCTTTTGGCTTCCAGTGAGATTGATAATTCCGATGCCTGTTCACTCCCAATCTTCTATATTCTTTGGAAGCTTTACTCCCAGTGTTCTAGAATTATACAGTATGTAATTAGGGTGTTTTTCATCCACCATTTTGGAACCTGTGACTATCAATTCTGGAAGCATTTATTTCTTTCACATGTTTCTGGCCTTCATTTTTCCATTTCTCTCTTTATAGACCTCCTGAGTGTTAGGTTTTTTTTGTTTTTTTTGTTTTTTTTTGACTCACTATGCAGTTTAGGCTGGGCTTGAACTCACCATGTAGCCCAGGCTGGCCTCAAACTCGAGGCACTCCTCCTGCCTCAGCCTCTTGAGTGCTGGGATTACAGGTGTAGACCACCACTCAGCCTGTTAGGTGTTTTTATCCTACTTCCTGGAAGAGCCTTTGTCAACTTGCTTTTTTTTTTTTTTTTTGGTACCAGAGATCAAACTCGGGTCCTTGCGCTTGCAAGGCAAGCGGTGGAACCACTGAGCTAAATCCCCAGCCCTGTCAACTTGCTTTTTGAAAAACTATAATGTTTTTAATTTCCAAGAACTCTTTCTTGTTCTGATTTTTACACAATACTGTTTTTGTATTGTGGGTAAAAATATTGGCTTTTTAAAATAAAAAGGTAGATAATAGGAAGCAGGGAAACAGATCTTTTGCAAATGAGAATGGGACCAGCAGATGGAGGGGAGGAGAGGGGATAGGGAATGCAAAGAATTAAGACATGTTATATACACGTACCAACTCCTCACAATGAACATAATCATTACGTACTACAAACAGCTACTAATAACAAATTCTAAAAGTTGAAAAAATTTTGATTCTTGCAAATGGCATTGAGATGGTTCAGGGCCCTGTTTAAAAAAATACTGATTCTTTTATGTTGAGCATATTCCCTATGTGCTGCTTTCTGGGCTCCTCTGAGATACTTGTCTTTCTTGCTTGTTCTGTCTTCTATCTTTCATGTCAGAAGCTTTCTGAACATAAGCAGTGATCACAGCCTGTCCACTCCTATCTGAAAGTGTGGGAGTTCCAGGCACGGTGACACACGCCTGCAGTCTCAGCTATTTGGGAAGCTCAGACAGGAAGATGGCTTGAACCCGGGAACCTGGGCAACACAGAGAGACCCTGTCCCCACCCCACCCACCAAAAAAGGCAAGAGAACAAGAGATCTTTGTGGGGTGACATGAATTTATACACACATGGTAAAAGGGCATGGAACTGTGCACACGTGGTGACTTGCAGAGTTTAACTTCTCCCTGTGCAGATGCTCAACCCTGTGTTTTGGGCCCAACCTCACTCCCACCATGAGCACACCAGGCGCCACCAAGGCCCGGGACCTCCTCGGCTTCCCTTCCGGTGCCTCTGCAGATGCCAGAGCTTCAGCTGCTTCTGCTCAGCTTCCATTCACCTTCCATTTTCCAAAAATGTGAACTCTTGCCTTTTATTGTTTCTTCTCTCATTCTTCGCTTTTGCGAGCTTATGTTTTCAAATTTTACTTGCTGTTATTTTGGCAGGGCTTTTGGGGAAGGGGGATAAGTGGATGTGTTTGAGCAGAGGTTTTGGTGGCAGTGTGCAGTGTTTAAGGTGGGGTCTCCAACTCCTGGCCCAAGTGATCCTCCCACCTCAGCCTTCCTTGGAGTCCAG